CACCGTGTTAAATGGTGTTAGACCACGATGGACCATGATGGCCGACCAAAAAAACTGTGTTAAATGATGTTGAAATCTCTTAATCGTCAAAATTTTTCATTTTAAACCATTTACCACGGTCTATCATGGTCGGCAATCATGGTTAACACGGTTTACCACGGTCCATTCTCGCCTTTTTGACAATAAAAAGTACGATAAAAATACGGTTTTTTGACCATAATGGCCGTGTTAAACCACGATGGCCGACCATGATGGTGCCTATGTTCACCGCCGGGCCAAGACCTTTCCAACGGTACCACTGTTATCCGGATCGGTTGAGGCGTTTGGACGCCAACCCGGAACACACAGACAGACATACATACATTCACTTTTATATATATAGAAAAACTAGCTTTACTTTGTCTGTCAGCAGCCAGTTAAGACAGACTGGAGCTTGCTTAATTTCAAAAAATTAATCACTTCTTGTTATTTTTCATTACAGATTGAGGACAAAATGACAACAAATTAGTTTTTTAATATCAAATTATATCACTACTACATAAAATAAATGAATTTTGAAACTAATTTGAATGAAAAAATGAAGAAAATCCACAAAAATGCATTTTTTTACTTATCAACCCGAATTCAAGGTACAAAGGGGGGTTTGGGGGATTCGAAATGTATGGGGTTCTAGGGGTAATTTTTCATGGGGAATCCAAATCTGCAGTTAATTTTTGGGTCTAAAGGGGGTTTTGACCTCATTTTAAGCAGTTGTTTAAAAAATTCGAAAATTTTGCAGGGGGACCCCTCTTGGGGGTGATGGGAGGGGATGGGCAATGACCTAAATGAAATGTACGGATAAAATTAGCCATAGTTGGCCATACATTTGAGTGTGAAATTCCGCACCCAAAAAGTGAAAAATCGACTTTTTATCATTTTACCCTAATGGGGGGGCTCTGAATTTTTGGGAGACTTGAGGTGAATGCGCTCGGGACGAATATCATTTTTAGGGTAATTTGGCATGCTGATTCCGAATTTGGAGGTTTCGAGTGAAAAAATCATATTTTGGGGATTTTTGACCCCTCGGCCCCCCTGGGGGTGGGGGGACTTGAAGGGCAGGGGTCATAAAAAATTTCTCTCGTCATTCTGAACAACTTTGTAGTACATTATTTTTTGATCCGACCAAATTTTAATATGGTGGGGTACTCCCCTGCCCCCCCTACTTCGATTGCGCCTCCCTTATTTTCACAAACTTATTTTTTCGGCACTTCACATCGATCTATATAAGTGAAATTGATAACTTTTTGTGACACTTTGGGTACTTTACTGGTTAGACTTGGGCCTAAAAATCGGTGAAATTTTCAAAAAAATCCTTGAGCTTGTTTTCGAGATAATGTACGTCATGTGTCCGGCCGAATTGTAACTTTTTGGTTTTTGGCCAATTTGGCCACCCCACATTGAAATTTTTGGACCGCAAATGACACTGAAATGACGGATGAGGAGAAATTCTGTGAAGGGCATTTCGTCAAAGCAGCAAAACGAGATGAAAATGGGCGATTCATCGTATCCATGGCATTTAAAAACAATAGTCAACCTGATTTGGGTGATTCAAAGAAAACCGCTTTAGCTATGTTATTTCAGTTGGAGAAGCGTTTCAAAAAAATACCAGAGCTGAAAAAACTTTATGCTGACGTGATTCATGATGAAATTAAAAATGGATATTTGAAATTGGTTGAAAAAACTCCACTGAATGCACATTATATTCCACATCATGCAGTATTTAAGGACAGCACTACTACGAAACTAAGAACAGTTTACAACGCTTCGCAAAAAACTACGAACGGTAAATCGTTAAACGAGCAGTTGGCGATCGGTAAAACAGTACAGTCAACAATGTTTGAATTAACATTACAATGGAGAACGCACAAAATTTCGTTAATCGCTGACATCGAAAAGATGTACAAACAAATTAAGTTGGATGAAAATCAACAGCATCTTCAAATGGTGCTATGGCGAGATTCAGAACATGAAAGAATCAAAGAATATAAGATGACAACAGTCACCTTTGGCTTTTCAGACTCACCGTATTTGGCCATCAGATGGTTAAAAGCATTGGCTGAGTCAGTTGCTGAGAAATATCCATTGGCAGCACACGTGATTAAAAACAATTTTTATGTCGACGATCACACTGGAGGTGCTCCAACAGAAGAAAAAGCCATTGAATTGTACAAGCAATTAAAGGCAGCATTTTTAAGTGCGGGCTGTAATTTGCGGAAATTTATTTCCAATTCAAACGTAGTGTTACAGCACATTCCTGAAAATGACAGAGAATTGAACATCGACCGAACAGTAAAAGTTTTGGGAATCGTTTGGAACCCACAAAGTGACAATTTTGAATTCAAACTCAACATTTGCTTAGAAACTAGTTAACGTGAATTAATAATTTAACATGTAAATTACATCTGGAATTTATGTTATGGACGGAATGGAATTTGATATAAAAATGAAGTTGGTAATAAATCTTATTCTATGAACATATTGCTTATTGTGCGTTTTTTGGCAGTTGACATTTGAAATTTGATCGTGCTTAATTTAATTGTGACTACGTGTAACAATAACAAGTGAGATAATTTAAGAATGTAAGTTTAAACTAATTTTGGTATTTCAAAATACATAAAATGCTAATAACGATAAATGAATTTGTTTAATTTAGGTCTGAACGATATGTGCTGCTAATTTATTATGTGGCTTGTGATCCGCCGGCTAATATGCCCGTTGGTGGTCGAGCAATCTATAGTGAGTCGATGTAATTTTGAAAAATTTTAGTATGCGGTTTTAATGTCTTTTCATTTCAGCTGATACGAATCGATTCGGCGCTGTCATAATCATAGAAGTCATTTTTCGAGCCTTGACGAATGAAGATCTGCTGGGGATTGATCAAGGTGGTAAGTTGTGATCGAAAAGGTTTAAAAGAGGAATTGTCAAAACTCCCCAACATTTATGTGTGCGTGAACATGATATGTTTTTATACGAATGAATAAAGGTTGACATATAACCAACTTCATGGTAGTGCTATGAATTAAATTTTGTGAATTAATGGAAATTGTGAAAATTAAATAATAATAAAATGTTTATTAAAATATTGTTAGTACAAAAAATGTTTAAAAATTTATTTTATTCTAAACAGATTAAAAAATTCCAAGATAATTAGCTCATTTTTCGAAATATCATAGAATTTTCAAACATTATTTTCATTCCGAATCTACTAGTAGCATGAAGTTGGTTATGAATGGTTCGGTCGAACAGCTGTTTTTTGACATTTTGTTTTGTTTGTGTGTGAGTAAAAGAGTATAAGAAACTGCGTTAGGGACTTTATAAAGGCATTTGACATTACCTCTTTGACGTTTCCTCATTCTGCTTGCTATATTTTAGTTCGTCGGATTCATTTGCAAGGTAGAAATGTTGATGGTGCTCGCATGAATCAGTCCGTGCGTCGTCGTGTGATTTCAGAGGCTTGGTGGCGACGTAATCGCATTGCTCGTAGGCAACCTGAACCTGCCGGTGTTTGGGCCGAAGCCATTGATGCTGGATCGGATGCTACAAGAATACCTGATGACGAGATAATGGTTTTGATGTCTCGTATACGTGAGCAGTATGGTGATCGTAATCGACGTAACGATCAGCAATGATTTTTTGTTAATGAGTTGTCAGTTTTAATTTGAATAAACGATGACTATTTTCGAATTTAATTTTGCTTTTCTTCCATCGATGATTTTTCTGGTCATTTTCTCGTTTCTGATTACTGTTGTATGAAAATGAACACCTGATTTACCGTTGGGGATAGGTGATCATGATGAATTTGTTCGCCGGTGTTGATTAACGGTACTTTTCTGTGACATAACGCGGGTAGATCGAATTACAGTTTTTGTTTATATTAGCTTTCCTCATTGTGATTTGTGGAATTGTGTTGAATTTGTTCAATTAAAATGCTTAAATATAAAAGATGAATATGTAAGTAGTAACTAAATTATATTTTGTTGGGAAGTTTTGGTTTTAAATGTATTCCAGTGTCAAATAAAGGAAAAAATAAAAAGGAAAAATGAAAATGTGGTTAATTAGTGTCTTAAAATCTAAGTGTATGTGTATTTTTGTTTTTTATCTCAGGGCTCAGCGTGTAACCATTTCTTTTGTGAATCGTGCCGGTGATAATGACGAGTTGGTAATTATGATGCCAGCTGGAAGTCGAATTCGGGATGTGGCCTGGGGCCAAGGTAATTTTTTGTCTTTTGTACCCAACCAATTTGCTTATATCCAATTTTGATTCAATTGATCTTGTTATTCTTCAGCTGATCGTGGATATCATGCGAATCGATGTCGAGTGGAGAGAATCGACGAACACAATATTATGCACAATGGGCATGGGTATATCCGATGGGATTTCGTCGGTGCAGCTGCTCAAGGTGGAGCTTCACAACATCGCGATGCGCCACCGCGTTAAGAAGACGTTATGCGAGCCACTGGTGGTAAGTTGAATTTTGTTTTATGTGTTTTTGTGTTGATTCCGCCTGATTTTAGTTTGTCGTCTTTCAGGTTCCAATGGTATTGTGAGCAGTCGAATACGCGGTGTCAATGGTACGACCATCGATCCCGTCATTGAGCATGATGAAGAACAAACCGTAAGCGTTGTTGGTGGTCAACTTGTTGGTCATCGACGTGCAAGTAAGTATCCGTCTTGTGTTTTTCATGTTTTCGTCTTGACCAAATGATTTAGATTATATAATAATTTTGTTGTTATCTTTCCCTCCTCAGATCCCACCGAAACATGGCATGATCTGGTATTTGATGATGATTGGTGGTGTGCCTAGGGTGCTAGTACTCCCGATGAGGATCCAGTTGACGTGATAACTGGAATACTGGATGGATTAAATCGACGTGATAGAAGTAATCGTCGTCGTCATCGTGGTAGTCGAAGTAATCGCGGCAATCGTGGACAACGTGATGGAATACCGCCTCCGGAATTGCCCTGGTGGCGACGTGGTAGCTAATGTGATAAAAATTGTATGCTGTAGTTGGTAAAATAAATTTCCACAATTTTTATATGAACGTTTATTGATGTTTCTTCATTTCTTATCGGCGACTTTTTTTGTTCAATTGGCAATCGGTGTGTTCTGCATGACTTTCATTTTTCATTCCAACAGCTTTTACTTTTCTCTTCGGTCGTCGTGTTTTTTCTTCGCTTCTGGCTCGTTTTTTCAGTTTTATTCTGAGTTTTTGTCTAAGCCCGTTTTTACAGTTCCATTTGACGGTTCTGTCATACTGACAGTAAACTTATTCAGTTCCGATAAACGCGTCACGTGTTAGCTGTGATTTTTCGTTGTGTATATTTTTTGTTTCTCGTAACGCCGAAAACAAATGATGGATTTAGTAGAAGTCGAGTATTTGGAGCCAGGCAGTGCTGTGAAGACGTTGACCATTGAATTGCCCACTACTGCTATTATTCAACGCGTATGGGCCTCAGGTTATTTTGTTTCTCTTCTGTGTTTCTTCTTTTTCTAATTTTTTTTTTTTCAATTTTAAGTCCGGATGTGCGTGATGATGTTAATCCGGCTTTGTTGGAGCACATTCTTCGTAGGGCCCTCACTGAAGCGGCTGATGCCTGTCGACAAGGATTGCGTGAAGGTTTACAAGCAAGTTTCGCCGAGCTTCGTGAGTTGGTTTTTTTTTTTCTTTTTCGTTGTTCTTTCATTTGTCCGCTTATGTTTCCGTTTCTCCCAGATGGTGAAATTTCTGCTCGACTGGATTCTATTTTGGCTCATGAACGTAGTTCCAGTGATTCCGATTCCGGGCCGGCGGGTTTAGGGATACCCGTTGAAGGTGAGTTGGTTTGCCTGTCTGTTGTTGTTTCGATTTTTGATTTCTTTCCTCTTCCCCTTTTTTTTATATCTCCATCCGTTAGATGGTCCCGATGTCTCCAGCGATGATGGTGACAAGGAAAATACATCCGCTGGTGCTCTTCCTGCTATTGGTAAGCGTTTTGTCAGGCTTCTCTTTTTTTTCGTTTATTTATTTGTTTTTCTTTTCTCCCCTTTCAGTTGTTGCTCCGGTCGAGCGTGTGGCTCCGTTATTCCAGCCGGTACGTGTTGTGTCACGTTGTATTCTTTTCCTCTTTTGTTTTCGTTGTAATTATTTTCTCTTCTTTTGTTTTCAGTCTACATTTGAAATGTCCGAAATGGTGTTGAATGCCGTTGATCCATTTGCTGAGCGTCGCCAGAATGTGCGCGGCATCCCAGAAGGGTGCGCCCGGCGCGGTGGGAATTACGCCACTCGGTCCCCTTATGGTGATCGCTTACGCCAGCGCCGCAAATTTAACAAAAACACAAATTAAGAGGGATTGTATCTCCGTTTTAAGTGATTTTTTCTTCTCAATAAATTTCTTTTGATCTCAACTCATTTGCATTGTGTTTTATTTTGGTTTTGGTTTGTGTCTTTCCTTTCTCTCTTTTTTTGTGTGTATATGGTTGGATTTGGGTGGCGAAAAAAAATTGTAATTTTGAATTGCAAGGTTTACTTATGTGTTCAGATGGTTTATGGTATTGCTATCTGTTCGTTTTACTTTAAATTTTTTCTTAGAATTAAGTTTGAATTTTTTTGTGTGGGTTTTCTATACTTTACATGTTAAATTCCGATTTTACATTCATGTGTTGGTTATAGCGTTTTTTGACATTTGGTCGTTTCACATTTGACAAAAATGTTGGTTTTTCGGTTTTCTAATGGTTTCGGTTTTTTTAAATTGTAAGAGCCAAAAATGTCTTTATATGGCTTATGGTATTACCATTTATCCATTTTTGTGAAAATAAATGCTTACCAGTAAAGTGCACAAAGTGTCACAAAAAGTTATCAATTTGACCCAAATCGGAGGGCAAGGGTTCATTTTTATATTATTTTGACCCCCGCCCTCCGAACTGGGTCATTCAGGGCGGCCAAAACTATATGCCAATGGAAACTACATTGATATGCGTAACTTTCATGGGGAGAGACACGTATGCCCCTTTAAGTCATAAGGGGTGACTATCCCATTGTGAAGTCACAATGAAATGGGGTATTTTCACTTTTCGACCCGAATTGAAGGTTCAAGTTAAATGGAGTGGAACATAGGTCAAGGGAGATTGAGAATGTATGGGGCCTATAGGTAATTTTTCACGAGGAATCCGAATATGTAATTAATTTTGGGGTAAAATGGGGTATGGACCCAACTTTCGTAAATTTTCTAGGGGAACCCCCCTTGGGGGTGATGGGAGGGGATGGGTAATGGCCTAAATGAAATGTGCGGATAAAATTAGCTATAGTTGGCTATACATTTGAGTGCGAAATTCCGCACGCAAAAAGTGAAAAATCGACTTTTTATCATTTTACCCTAATGGGGGGCTCTG